CGGGGCCAGGGGGGCGGCCCTTCCTGCCGCCCCTCGAGCCGCCGCCGCAGCCGGGGAGAAGCCACCGCCGCTGCTGCTGCCGCCGCCGCCGCTCTCGCCTGGCCGGGCCCCGCCGCCTGCAACATGGTGAGCGGCCGGCGGCGAGTTTGTGGCGGCGGCGGCGGCAGCGGGTTCCCCCGCGCCCACCTCCCATCTCCGCTCTCTGCCTCTTTTGCAGGTCTGGAAAACTCTCTCGCTGCTTTGCGCCCTGGTGGCCGTCGCGCGGCTGCGAGCCGAGGTAGGCGCCGTTGGGGAGAGGGAGTGCGGGCGGGGGGATGCTTCCTGCAAGGAAAAAAGGCGAAAGTAAAGGGGAAAAAAAGTTTTTTTTTTTTTTTTTTTTTTTTAAAGGCCTCGAAGCTGCGCGGGTTTCGGTGCGCGCCCCCCTCTCGCGGCGCCGCGGGCGGGACGGGGGCGAGCGGCGGCCCGGGCCCCCTGCCCGGCCCCCCATCCCTCCTCGGGCCCCGGGAGCAGAGAGCGGGCTGCGCCCCCGGCTCCCCGCGCTGCCGCCGCCTTAAAAAGAGAGGGGGAAAGAAAGAAAAAACAAAAGTGAGGTCAGGAGCAAAATATTCGGTAATGACGGCGGGGAAATGTGGAAGTGATTTGGAGCGAATGAAGTCAAGCTGCGGGGCCGGGGAGGCGGCCGAGCGCCCGCCGCGGGGAGGCGGAGGGGGCAGCAGCCCCTGCTCGCTCCGCTCCCTGCACGTTGCTCCCAGATGGCTGCCCCAGCCTGGAGCATCCCCGCCTGGCGCCATGCAGAGGTGCCCTAGCACTCCTGTATCCCTCCAGGCAATTCCCCTAAGCAATTCCCGCCTCTACCGTGTCCCACCCTGCTGGGCTTGGCGAAGGGGGCTGGGAGCAGAGCCCCTTGCTCTGCGTGCGTCTCCCTAAGTAAAGGTGGTCTGTGAGCAACATGTAAGTAAAGGTGGTCCGTGCCGAGTGGCGCTGCTGGCAGCGAGCGCAGGAGCGGAGCAGGAACGGAGTGGGAGCACGGGCCTCGTGCGCCGCACGATGCTGCTGGGACACACATGCCTCCCGAAGCACCATGGGCTTCGTGCGCAACGCTTCCGTGCAGCCCCTCCAGAAAAGCGAAACAGTGGTTTTATCCACTTAAAAAAACCCCAACACTCACACATGGTTAATAAATTCCAGGCAATGCACAGAGAGACCTCTGTAAGGAGGAATTGCACAATGATACACTCAGAGGATGAGTAGCAGCAGCTAAATAATAGTGGCCGCAGGCTGAGGGAAATGTGGTGGAGTCGGTGGCCAGCACGACTGCGACAAGGGTGCGTTTGGCCACCAGTTTCTGATTTGGTGGTGCTCGTGTTGTATGGACTTTGACAGACTGTGAAATCCTGTTTTTTGCCCAGCTTCGTGCGATCTGGAGTGCCTTGTTGGCTGCCCAGATATAAGTCATGTTTCTGTGCCTTGGCATCCCCACCAAGGAGGCGAAAGTAAGAAAAACGTGCCTCTGTTAGGTTCAAAACTTGCACTTAAAGGCCAGCTCCTGCTGGAGTGGCTAAACGAGTGATGCGAGTGGTTTTTGAAGTAACAGCCCAGTGTCAAAGCAGGGGATGCTGCGGTCCGTGTCCAGGGCATTCCATAAAGCTCAAGAGTGCTGGCTGAGGTTCGGTCCCAGCCCGAGGGAAGGTTGCCGCCTCGGGTGAGTTTTCTCTGGGGGCCTCCATTTGGTTTCCAGCTGCTCGTGACTGCTCGGTGCTGGGCCTGCTTCTGGGCCCCTAACCCCCTTTGTGGGGGAGCTGGCTGTTTGTGTCTTCTAGGGGGGTGAGTGGTGTAGAAGTTGGGGATGCCTTTGGAGGCAGCCCCTTCCGAGCGGCCCCCTTGCTACCGCCCGGCTCTATCATGTTCAGCAGCACGAGCATCCGGCGGCTTTCTCTTGCCTGGGTTTTGGGGTTAGAGCTTCTCTTTTTCTCCTGTTGCTGCTGCAGCTGGTGCTCGGTGCCTTTCAGGACATGCAGAACATGAATGCGGAGCCGTCAACTGATAACCCGTGTGTAGGCAACACTGCATCTGAACTGGGTGGGGTGGCTTTTTGTACCGCTCTCGTCTCTGTAATAGAGGCTTTACAGTAAGAAAAAAATTTGCTTCAGTAAATGTTCCTGGCATGGTTTTATACAGACTGGAAAATCTGAGCCGTGCCAGAGCTTGGGAGCTTTTCTTGGCCCGGTTCTGCAATAGTCACAAGAGCAATAGACGGTGAACTCTCCTCCTCGGATGGAAGCCAGGCCCCCGTTTCAGACAATGGTTTTTATCTCTCCCTTCCTGGAGCAGCGTCTCCGTGTGGAGGCTATTTGCTGGGATTAACGGGGATGTTGTAGAGGTGACGTTGCTTTTGTTGCCAGCTGGTGCTTTCCTAGGCAGAGAGAATGGTTTTTGGGAAGCATCCATGACCCTGAAGGAAAAGGGAGAGGCACAAAATGTCTGATGAACGTATTAAAAGTTAATCCGCCGGCGTGTAACTTGATCGCCTGTGCGTATCCCAGTGGAGCAGAGAGCTGCTTGACGCAGGAAAGGAATCTAGTCCCTCCGACTGTGTCGAGGAGCTCTGAGGGGTAGTTTGCATGGAGAAGTTTTCCCCAAATGTACTGCTGTAATGAGACCAGTGTCCTTGTATATCCCATCAGGATGCTTAGCTCAGAACGGGAGTGAGGGTTTTGAGGGTGTTTTGTCTCTTCTCTTTCCATTTTGGCCTAAACCTGCTTCAGAACCATCAAGAAGCTTCTTTTACAAGGGAATATCGGACGCTGAGAAGAAGGTTAGCGCCAGCATGTCATTGTCCCCAGCTCTCTGCCATCCGTTCGGCTTAATCCCCGTAGCTCTTCTCTTAAATTACCTCTGGTGCGTTTCAGACCACACGAACCTGCCTCTGGGAAGAGATAGGCAAACGGTTAGAGCTGTCTTGTCCTCTTTTTGAGGAAAAAGAGCTTGAGGATTGCTCTGGGGAGAAGCCCTACTGAGAGGTCTGAGGGGGCTGTAACCCCCAAGCAACAAGGGGTGTCAGGCACCTCGAGACCAACTGATACCCGTTCCTCGTGGTGCACTGTTACAGTGTGTGCATCCATTGAAACCTTGGCATCCATCTCTCCACCCGCCCTGTTTTCCATTGGCGTAACTTCTGTATGTGAAAAGCCAGAAGAGAGAGGGGGGGGAAAAGAGAGGAAACGAGAAATGCTTTAGGCTACGTTCTGTTTTCTTAAATCACCTAAGTGCTTCCTCTCAGTCTGACCTGGCTGCTCCTGCATGGAAAGAGGAAAGGCCCTAATGCTTTCAGGGCCATGTGCTTCCCCTGCCAACATGCCCCTGCCCAGCAGACCCCGGGGAGATGAAGCTGAGAGCTTGGCTGGTCTCTTTAAGGGCTGGTGTGGCCCTTCCTCCTTCCCTCGCTCCCTGCCTGCCTGCCTCCCTTTGGTTTCAGGCTGTTAGTGGGTTCTGACTGGCATCCTTAGCTTAGGTTTAGTTAAACTTTTCCTGCCTTTTGAGGATTAGAAGCTGTTCCCTTACTAAGTGGAAGTTGGCATTCCTGATGTAATTGCGTAGCTCTGAGACAGGGCCAGAAGTTAGCCCTGCAGTTGTCCTTCCGAGAAGGATTCATTTGCCTTGGAATTGAATGGTAGAGATTCTGTGGGATAGGGCAGTCCTGTGCCCATTGACACTTTGGCCATGGTTGTGGGAGCAGAAAGGACCCGGTGGTGCGTGTCACGTGGTTATCCCAAGCCATTTCTAACGTGCACCGCCTTTGTGCACTAATGGAAAAGCCAGTCACATAGGGTAATAAAACGGCCCTTCCAGCTTGCTGGCACAACTTCAGTCCTTGGTGAAAGGAAAAATCACTGTTGTTGTAGCTGTGGGAGCTGATCTGGGACCCAGGCAGGCCTTCCTCGCAGGACCCTTGGGCCCAATGCCCTCAGGTAGCGTAGCGGGCACTGCAGGCATCTTCTAGCCCGGCGCCTAAGCGTGTGGCCCATGAAGGGGGCAGGGCATGGGCTTCTGCGCCAAATGGCGAGGGCCAAAACAGGGAGCCCTGCCCGGGGCTCTTTGCACCGCGCTGACCTCCTTGGCCAAGCTGCCCGTGCGTGGGGGTTCAAGCTGCTCCCCGGCCGTGCTCAAGCCCCGAGTTTGGCTGCGCAGGTGTGAGCCCGGCGACACAGGCGGTGCCGTGTAGCCTGGGGAGCTGTGTGACACCCCGAGCTGCTGCTCGGCTGGATGGAGCTGCCGTTTCGTGTACGGGCTGAGCCGCTTTGTGCGAATTGCCCGCAGCTCCGTGAATGCCTTTGGCGGCCAGGGGCCACATTTTTGTGGGGGTAGTTACCGGGGGCGGCCTCTTCCTCCCGGCGTGGGAGGAGGGGGCTGGCTGAAAGGCTCGTGTTGCCTGTCGCATTTTTCTAGCTGCCGCTGTTGCTACAGCTGCTCGCCCATCAGGAGGCACCGGGACCCCTTTGATCTGTCTTGTGTGCTGTTACACGAGCTGGAGAAGGTTTCTCTTTGTACTGACAGGAGTGGGTCGCAAATCTCAGCCAAATGCGTCTTTCCAAGCTCCTGAGACTGCTATTAACTGGGCCCTGTTCCATATCCTGGGAGCTAGGGGAGATTAGTTTCCAAAAAATGCCATGTTTAGTGGGGTTGGATCTACCTTCACAGAATCACAGAGTGGTCGAGGTTGGAAGGGACCTCTAGAGATCATCTAATCCAACCGCCTGCTCCAGCAGGGTCTCCTAGAGCACGGGGCACAGAGTGGCATCTAGGTGGGCTACTAATACAGCCTAAATCTTCACAGAAGGTCATGGCCAAAAAGGCTTCTGCCCTGCTTGGGGTCTGAGATCTTATTTCCTGTTGTATATTCAAGCACTCTCATTCATTACACTGTGTTACTGGGTTTTAACATTGGGCTTGTACTTCTTGGGGACAGAGGACTAGATCTATGTTGACGATGAAAGATGACAAAGAAAAGCAAGCTCATGCCTCGGTCTGTACGCATAGACTTTCTTGAGAAAGCTGCACCTTTTTTGGTCCACGAGTTTTGGTCCATCAGTTTGGAGGCTTCTCTTGGGTGAACCTGTTTGGAAAGAACAAGGAATTTGCGTTGGATGATATGGGGAGTTACTATCTTCGTAGCTCACCTGTAGGTAGGTCCCACTCTCTACTGTTTGACAGCTAAGCAAATATTTTGGCAGAGGAAGCTAAGCCTAGCTTGAAGACTGAAATCTCTTCTTTGCCTTG